GACTCCACAGGTTCCTCCCTGGTATTGTTAGACTGATTTCAGGATCTGGGGGATTAGAACTCACGGTCGGTGCCAGTTCATCGTTGATAGCTGAGATATCTTCAATGTCAAGAGTGCCGGCTCTATACTTGGCCCAGTTGTTGCGACAGTCTGTGCAAGCTCCGATGCGCACGCCGCGATGACTACCGGGCATCATTGGACCAGTGACTAGATGAAGAATTGGTTTGTTTGCTGAAATACCTCCCATCAGTTGAGCAGGCGTAGTCTTGTCACAACCTATCCCAATCAGTATCATCATCATTCAGTATACTCCAAAGGTCAACTTACCACCAATCAACACCACAGCATCACAAGGCTGCGCCGCAATCATCTCCTCCGTATCCATACTCATCAAATTCCTCAAATACATACTCGTCGGCGACGAGAAGCTCTCATGGATACTAATAGTAGGAAAGTCAATCGCCAACCCGCCATTGAGCTGCACGCCCCTCTTGACAGCGTCAATGAGCTGAGGAATATTGGCATGGCAGGGATTGAAGCTAGAGTATGTGTTCGCAATTCCAATGATGGGGCGTGAGAGGGCATCTTCGCTGTAGCCGAGGGCTTTGATAAAGACTTTGCGGAGGAAGAGGGAGAAGTGAGGATCGCCGTAGGAGGCGAGGCCTTGGCGGAGGCCGACTTTTGATGTGATGGGTTGATCGAGGTCATAGTCTGGGTTCTTGGGTTCCGACATTTTGATCAATGGAGTTGAGGAGAGATGATTACAGGGGATTGAATGTCGGCCTATCAGTGTTTATGTATTACTCTTCCCCGTGGCGATGATCACATATCGGCGTTGGAGGTGCAGACGGGGTGACCCCGCGTCGGCCATCACGCAATATGGCCGATGGAGCACTTACACGACGACGGGAGAATCCCGCTACACACCAAGCCAGGGAATAAACAGATATAATAATAAAAGGTCATCGGGACCATGGAAGAAATTACGGTTATCAGAATCTTGACTTTGTTTCTTTGGACATCTACTCATGATGCTCAACCTCACAAATAAAGTTGCCCTCATAATCGGCCTCGGCCAAACAGGCACCGAGGGCTGGGGAATCGGTGCAGCATGCGCCGTGACCTTGGCACGACAAGGAGCCATCATCTTTGGCGGAAACAGAACTCTCGCTTCAACTACCAAGACAAAAGAGACTATTGAAGCAGAGGGTGGAACATGCGATATCGTCACTACAGATGCTACAGACTCAGTTTCTGTTAAGGCACTTGTTGATGCCTGTATGAAGAAGCATGGACGGATTGATATACTGTTGACAAGCGTTGGACAATCCCAACCTGGCGATCCTGTATCCATGAGTGAGGAAGTTTGGGACTCGCAGATGGATATCAACCTCAAGAGCGTCTATCTCGCCTGCCATCACGTCCTCCCAATAATGGAATCCCAAAAAAGCGGTTCAATAATCTGCATCTCCAGCATCGCAGGCCTTCGATACATCGGCAAACCCCAAGTAGCATACAACACCGCCAAAGCAGCCATTCTACAGTTCGTCAAAGCCACAGCCGTAATCTACGCTCCTAAAGGAGTGCGCCTAAACGCGGTCGTGCCTGGGCTCATGAACACCCCGTACACAAGAAGTCTGGCGGAGAGGTTTGGGAAGCGGTATGAGGAGTTTTGCAAGGGGAGGGAGGAGCAGGTTCCGATGGGGAGGATGGGGGATGCGTGGGATGTAGCGAGTGCGGTTGTGTTTTTGGCGGCTGATGAGGCGAGATATGTGACTGGGCAGAGGATTGTGGTTGATGGCGGGATAACGAGCTCTACGGGGAGAGCTTAGGGCTTGGTGACGCGGAGGAATCAGCTTTGTGAAATGGTGTTAAGGTTTGACAAGATGTGGTTTAGGTTAAGATGAAGCTTGTAGTTCTGCGTCATGGCATAACGTTTGTGTGGGATATTTGAGTCAAGCTTGAATGGAGTTTCTGGCTCAGCCCCCGAGCTACATGAAGTGGAAGAATTCTTATCCAATGAGACTTTTTGACTACACGTAACATGCTTGGTTTACGTTGCTTGCATTGGTGTACAGACGTAAGAAGGTCCCGGTGTCTCTTGGGAAGTATTCCCGTGCCTACGGATCGTGAATGTTGAATGACAGACATTATCTGAGCTATTTGAGCAGAAAATAAGGTCGTGAATGATATTGAACGACGAAGCTTGTTGCAGAGTACGCAAAGTATAATGGCCAGAAAAAGAAGGTGAGTTGATGGAGTTGTGTTGGGAATATGTGTGATATCTGATGCCAAATTTGAGGTCTGCAGTTCTGCATGTTAGTGAGTTAGTTGCATTGACTACCGTTACATTAACACTAACGTTTATTCGGTCTCCCAAAGCAACTGAGCTTCAATTTCATCAGTTAACGCATACTTTTTCTTCCCGGTGAGTTTATTACACAATTCCATGTGTACACCGGCCAAATTGAGTAGGCGGCTTTCCCCCGTCTCTCGGCCCACCATGCGGTGCAAACCCGTCCGTTGGTGCGCCGATTGTTTGTGTGAGTTCAAGCCAAGCCCCAGACACTTAAAATGACCTACATCGCATACACAGAGACAAGCAATTGGTAAATACTCACTCATTACACAATGACAGTCGTTCATATTGGTGTGTTCCCTCTTTCGCCTCAAAAGTGATTCCTCCCCCTCTAACTCACCCTCAGTACTCTTTAAGTTTCGCTCCGATGTCGACGAGTCACATCGCGAGAAATTCGTCAAGGAACTCAAAACCCTTAAGACATTACCATGCGTCAAAGATGAGCGTCTTGTAGTGGGTGGTCCATCTATTACCGACCCCATCGCGAGGAGTAAAGGCTTTCAGATATGTCTGTTAAGTTTTCACCACGATAAAGCTGCGCTGGCAGCCTATCAAGCGAGCAGCGAACATCACAGGTAAACCTACCTTCCCCTATTCAAAAAGAACAGAAACTGATGGGATACAGGGTCACAAGTCAATATCTCTGGCCCTTTGCAGAGGATGTAACGCGCTTTGACTTTGAAGTCGCAGAGGAGGATGAGGATACATTTGAGAAGAGCTTTAACTTGTCTAGCCAATAAGCATAGAAGAGACTTACACGGAACTCGTCATTACTCATCAGAATGCGATAATGCAATGCAGAGTGCACCCCGCACCGAGATAACATCGGCGGCCGGCGGCCAAGACGTGACCCACCCCGCACTACGGCCCGCCGGCTTTTGATGATGCTACTACGACGACTTGTGATGGTCTAGAATGTTTGTGGGGGTGAGAAAATATCAGCCCTTTTTCTTCTATTCACAGATTCTTCTTTATGCTCTCTCATTGTTGTTTCTGTGATTCTTGTCAGTGATTGTTTCGTGGTGAACTCAACAACATCGTCTGCATCACAACTTTAATCTTCACCATTAAGCTTACACAATGCCACGCTTCACGATCCCTCGCCTTCAAACACTCAGCAAACCAAAGTTTCTCAATGGCATACCAAACAATAGTATCTTTGCCATAGCGACTCTCATCGCAGTCAATGCCCTGGTATGGATCGCGTCAGGCATCGTTCTGCATTTCCATCCACGCCTCATCTCGCCAGCTGCTCTCTCATACGTCCTTGGTCTTCGCCATGCCTTGGACGCAGACCACATCGCAGCTATTGACCTGATGACCCGTCGTCTCATAGCATCAGGTCAACGCCCTGCGACAGTAGGGACATTCTTTTCACTCGGTCACAGCACCATCGTCATAGTGACATGCATCGTCGTCGCAGCTACGAGTGGCGCTTTAAGGGAAAGGTTTGATGGGTTTCAGCACGTCGGAAATATAGTTGGCACGAGTGTCAGTGCCACGTTTCTTATAATTCTCTGTATAGGAAATGGCTGGGTTCTGTACAAGCTCATCCAGCGCTTGCAAACACTTCTGCAAGAGCGGAGAAACCAAGTTCGACTGGAGGGATTCGTCGAAGAAGAAACTCAGATTCAGGATCACTTTGCTCTGGAGGGAGGAGGGTTTCTAACGCGAGTGTTCAAAAGGTTGTTTCGAGTTATTGACAGACCTTGGAAAATGTACCCCCTGGGCGTGGTATTCGGTCTTGGGTTCGACACAAGCTCAGAGATTGCGATACTGGGTATTGCGAGCATTCAGGCAGTACAAGGGACGAGCATCTGGTTGATTCTGATCTTTCCTATTCTCTTCACAGGTGAGTAGCGACGTATCTGTCTTAGAGTTGAAGTTTACTCACGCGTGTGTGATAGCTGGCATGTGCATGCTCGACACCACAGACGGAGCCCTCATGATGGCCCTATACACGTCAAAAGCATTCTCAAGAGACGTGGTAGCTATTCTGTACTATTCCATCGTCTTGACAGGAATTACAGTCGTGGTATCAGCATTCATCGGCATTGTCCAAGTTCTTTCCCTGATACAGAACGTCGCAGACCCTCAGGGGCGTTTCTGGGATGGAGTTTCCTCGATAGGCGACCACTTTGACATTGTGGGAGGGAGCATATGTGGCGTATTCCTGATCGTGGGCCTGGGATCAATCTTTTTATACAAACCTTGGAGAAGGCACGTGGAGAGGCAACAGCAAAGCTTGATTCAGAATCCAGAACCCTCTTTGGACGCTCAATCGCCTGCGTCTTCGACAGAGCGTGAGGATGAAGGTTTTGTTCAGGCACAGAGAATTGTGTAGCTTTCGTGAGTCTTCTGTACGGCTTGCGTCATTGGCCGTGTGTTTTTACCTCTTTGCGGTAATTTGGTAAATATTGTGGCGTTGAGACTGCGTTCACACTCTAATTAGCAACCATAAGCTTATATTCGACAAGAAGGAAGGCTAAACTGCTCAGTGCCTGCGAAACTAATGAGGTATAAGAAGGCACTTGATCACCCTTTTTGTTCCTTTTGTTTCACCTACCATCCTTTTCATAAGTTTATCATCATTGGCTTTAGCAAATCCATCTATACCGATATCAGTGTCAACACCAACATCATGAACTCCGAAGAATCATTTGATACTCTACTAGACTTCTCTATGTGTGAAATGGGTAAGTATATGCATCCTTTGCCATTTTCTTTCTGGCCGAGCACAACTGACAAGGTTAATTCAGAGTCTCAAGACCTACAGGGCCAATCGACTCCCAATGTTGAGATCATCGACGACGACGACAATACCGCCCCGAACCTTTGCATAGATAACGCTCCCATCAGGTTGCCTTTATTCCAACAAGAAACCTTCACCAACCCACTGATGTACAGTGATGAGGAAACTACAAATGCCTTACTACGAATTATAGAACAGGACCGGGACGATGCCCAAGCAAACGGGACTATACAACCCGAGAACCCCGTCACCGAAGCCCCTGCCCCTACAAGCGAAGCACCAACTATCCAGAACAGACAGCAGACCAAGTCACCAACTGAGAACGCCAGTGTCCCCCAGTCTTCACCTGCTCCGAGTGCCGCACCCAATGTCAAGGCTGTCCCTCAGGCCGAGACCCGAGGTGTAAAGAGAGCAAGGGAGCCCGAGCCTGCGCCTCCGAAACGACCAACCGCTAGAAATGGCCGGGGCGCGGCCAAGACGGTGAAACCTGAGGAGGCCAAACGCCCTCGTTGCAGGCTTAAACCAAAGATTGATGATCAACTCAATCGTAATGTTCATCTGGCGCAGGCGCGGATGGGCTTCAATCCTCCTGTCACTCCGTGTCCTCACTGCGGGAATATGACTTGGTCTTACCCAGGGCCCAGTGTCGAAAGCTGGGGGGCGATCCCGACCAACACGCCCATGGATGGCGGTGCTTTCATGGGGCAGCCTGCCACTCGACGTATGGAGTTCGGCCCTGTGCTACCTCAGCAGCAGGACCTGATGGGAATGAATCCTCATAGCATTCCGACTCCTCACAACGGGAATATGGCTTTCTCTTCCCATCTGCTGCCACCTCCTCAACAGACTCATGATGAGATGGCGCTGGGAAGCATGAGACAACATAATCAGGCCGTGGACAGTGGTATTCCCACGGTGTCTCAAAATATCCTGCCTAACTATTCCCATCTTCAGCCAAGGGTCAATGGCAATGCCATGAAGATGCATTAGCATAGTGGTCCTTTCATGGGATATTGCCAGCCAAGACGATCTGGGTAATTTAGTATGCACTCGTCTTAAAAGTAATAGAGTAATAGACAGTCGACTAATTTCGTTTGCGCCGTTATTTCCTTTTGCTGTTCTCCCTAAACCACCCCTCGCTGCTGTGTTGCTGCCGCACTATTGTGACATAACTAGAGAGTGTCTCAGCGAGCAAGAAAACTTGAAACTTTTAACAATAGTGCCAAAATAAACTACCTAGGTAAAGAGTCCACTAAACTCCAACTAATAAATTGACCTAAAATATTTCATCACTTGGGACAAAGATCCTAACCTAGAGTGCATATACATAATAGATATCGTCCGTCCGTAGAGAAGAACAGACGAGGCTCTCTCGATCATGGAAATTGATATCGTGGCTCAAGATCGAGAATGCGGGGTAGTCCTTTCGTGAAGCCAGCTTGTATCCTCCGAATGGGTCTTTGACCAGGCTGAGTCGTGTCGTGACAGGGTAAAGACGGATTTGCAATCTCAATCCCCAGTTTCTGAGGCTGATCAACCGAAAGGCCTCGCTAACTAGGGGATTGAAAGAGTCAGATGCGCCCCCGTTGTCGGAAGCGTTGCCACCCTTGTCGGTATTGGCTTAGGTAGGGTAGTCCTAATCTCTGCCTTCTAATAGGCTAATTGCTTATCGCTGGTGTAACTAAAGTACCGCGTGGTACTGATAAGTGATAACAACCTAAGATACACTGTTTCTTTTTCCGGACGTCTTTGTTCCAGAATCAAGTCAATGGTGTACAGGCGCTTGCAATGCTTCGTTCGTTGGGACTTTGGATATTAACATAACCAACCTCCTGAGTGAAGAGGAAGGGGGCTCATGACCAGTCATTTTGGTTGGTAGCATCACCGCCTTGAAGGCCTCATTCAGGAGAGACAGGACAGGACAGTATTCCGCCCACTGTCGGTCCGTGAGGTGGTCACCTCGACGAGTGCCCGTCCCTGCATGATAATGCGCTGCTGCGCCTATCACCAACAAGGCTCACACCCGACTGCAGTCGAGTCGTTCTGTCTGCAGCCTTGGAGCGGGCCTAGCGGGCGTCCCTGGCGCCCCGCACTGTTTGCCTCGCCAAAGTACCTTAAAGGAGTTGACGGTCTAGGATAGGACCCTTTACTCACTAACTGTGCGTTCTAGGTTGGACCCCTAGAAATACTGGGGACCCATAGGCGGGTCCAACGACTCGACTCGCTGTTTCTGACGAATCGGATCAAAGGGATATTCGAGGCCATGCCCATAGCGGATGGCGAAAGATTAGTAGATCTTTGTTTCGAAGGTTCGACGGTTCTCTCCCTCATGCTTCGCTTCGCTTCGTCGTACAGTACTACTACTGCTTTGTCATCTGAACTACGGAATCGGACTGTCCGTCGTCAAAGAAAGAATGTCATCGGGGAAAAGTGAGGGTGTCGTGGTGTCAGACACACATGGTTGAGCCGTCAAGTCAAAGCCAAGGAGGTTAAAAGCCCAGCCCCAACAGAGAGAGTGGTCTGGAATCAGCGCGGCCAGAAGGGGGAATTGCTCAGCAACCCTGTGCCATGCAACCGGGTTCGACGATCGCGTTTCCGTGAAATTAATAGGGCGCTTGGTTGAGCTGGGATGAGACAACAATACAATGTCTCTCCTCCTCCTGTCTCTCCTACAGGCCCCGGGTATCGGGGTCCTAGCTCCATACTGTACATTTTTATACTTTCTAGTTCCGGGTATGGGGAGGACTCTTGCTCAATCCACACTGTCCGGTGCTCCGTGCATCAAATGGTGCCATTCGAGAATGTCTAAGTGCCTGTGGGTACTGTACCTCGACAGCTTTGTTTTGCTGGTGAGGAACATTGGCGAGGCCTTCTAGTTTCTGTCGGTCAAGTCGTACATACTGTGCAAGACCGTGTCGTGTCGTGTCGTGTGTCCGTGGACCCTTGGTCTCTGGGGACTTCGGTTGATGGGTGGTGGCGGAGGAACTAGTGCGGCAGTGAATAGCATTCCCATTTCCTTCGCTCGACTCTTGTCATATATAAACCCTTCTTTTCCTCCGACTTCGGTTTTCTTCTTTTCTTTTCGATTTCCTTTCAGTTCTTAACGGGACATTGGTTCCTCTGCCATATCTCATCTCTCTTATACTCTCGAAGGGTGTACCATCTTATCTTGTGTAGCTCAACAAGATACACCCAACAACACCTTACACCGTACCATCCTCACTCCAGATAGCAGATCTACTCCTTGGGATACCATTCTTTCTTTAATCTATACTATATATCACATCCATCACAATGCACGGTTACAGTTCATCAGAAGAGTCCGACGACCCTCGTCGGCCTCGTGCCCAACCTGCCACCACCAACAACAACGACCAGAAGAAGAAGAAAAAGAAGAAGCTCCCGCCTCAAAAGAGCATCAACCGCATCTGGAAGAAGTTCTCCAAGCGCAAGTTTCACAAGGCTCTCGCCGTCCTCCCATTCGACCCCGTGCAACCACCTGCTACCTACCATTCCAACGAGCTCTTATCGGCCGGTTACGAGCGAGCCGCTGAGGAATGTCGACGCAAGGTTGAGAAGATCATCAAAGAATGCAAGCGAGTGAATATGCGATATCGAGATCCTGGCTGGGATTTGGTGAGTTTACTGTCTGTCTGTAGTCCGATGTGAATTTGGCGCTAATGCAGTTACTAGGATTGGGATCTCAAGTATGAGAAGGGCCACTGCTTGAATAACCTGGGATCGCAGAAATTCGAGCTCAACAGGACAACGCTGCTGAGCTCAAAGGCGGCTGTTCCCAAGGCCGTCAAGCGCGTGCACGAGATCTTTGAGAATCCGACCTTCATGAAAGAGGTTAGCGGTGGTGACGTCAAGCAGGGCAGTCTGGGAGACTGCTGGATCATGGCTGGCCTAACGGCTCTGGCCAATGTCCCAGGAGGTCTACAGCGGATCTGCGTAGCCCATGACACAAAGATCGGCATCTACGGCTTTGTCTTTTATCGAGATGGCGAATGGATCTACTCCATCATCGACGATAAACTCTATCTCAAGTCCCCCTTGTGGGATTCTCCTTCTATGCAGAGAGATCTTCTGCAGCAGATCGATCGTGAGGACAATGAGAATGTTTACCGCAAGACGTATCAGACTGGATCCAAGGCTCTTTTCTTTGCGCAGTGCAGAGATCAGAATGAGACTTGGGTTCCTCTCTTTGAGAAGGCCTACGCCAAGGCTCATGGTGATTATGCGTCATTGGCGGGTGGCTGGATTGGTGAGGGTGTCGAAGATCTCTCTGGTGGAGTTACCACTGAGCTCTTGACGTCTGATATTCTCGATATCGATGAGTTTTGGGATAAGGAGATGTCACGGGTCAACGATGAGTTCCTCTTTGGCGCTTCTACTGGTCTGCTTGAGCACGGCTACGGTGAGCGCAATGGTATCTCTGAAGGACATGCCTACGTCGTCATGGAGGCACGTACTCTAAAGTCTGGCCAGCGCTTGGTCAAGCTTCGCAATCCTTGGGGCAAGGTCCGTAAGGGTATTTGGGAGGGAGCTTGGAGTGATGGCTCTAAGGAGTGGACCACCGAGGTGCAGGAGGAGATGGACCACAAGTTTGGCAGCGACTCTGTTTTCTGGATTTCCTACGAGGATCTTATTCGGAAATACTCTCACTTCGACCGTACTCGACTCTTCCGCGATCGCGACTGGCGATGTTGCCAGCGCTGGATTGGTGTCGATGTCCCGTGGAAGGCGGCTTACCATGAGAAGTTCCACATCAAGTTGACCCAGGACTCGCCTCTTGTTCTGGTTCTTTCGCAGCTTGATGGTCGCTACTTCAAGGGTCTTCAAGGACAGTATTCCTTCCGTCTTCACTTCCGACTTCACTACGAAGACAGTCCCGATGCGGAGGACTACATTGTCCGATCTCACGGCAACTACCTCATGGATCGTTCTGTTTCTGTTGAGCTGCCTGATCTCCCCGCTGGTAACTACGTCGTCTACCTCAAAGTCACCGGTGAGCGAGACTCCAACGGTCAGTCTGTCGAGCAGGTCGTCAAGCGCGAGGCTGCCGACAGAACTGAGAATGAGAAGCTCGCTCAAGTTGGCTACGCTTATGATCTAGCCCACAGCAAGGCTTGGGACCACATGGACAAGGTCACCAAGCTTCGCCAGAAGAAGGATCAGAAGAAGGCCTCTGCCAGTCGCCAGAAGGAGCGTCGCCGCATGTGGGAGAAGCGCGCTACCAACCGCGACGTCACCAAGCAACAAACCAAGAAGAACGCGGACAAGAGAAAGCGACGTCGCGCAGAGTGGGAGGCTGAGCAGAACCGTCTTGATGAGGAGTTCAATGCCAAGGTCAAGGCTGAGCGCGAGCAGATGAAGAAGGAGAGACTTGCTAAGGCTGAGGCTGAGAAGGCTGCTGAAGCGGAGAAGAGAGCTCAGGAGGCTGATGATGAGGCGCTGAGCAAGAAGACTGAAGAGATTAAGATTTCAGAGGACAAGGATGAGCCTGTTGTCGTTGATGAGCACCACAAGGATCATGACGATGCGGTTATTTCTGTCTCGACTGGATCGCCTCACTTGACTCCCAAGTCCATGGACTCTACAGCTGAGGGTGCCGAAGAGAAGCAAGAGATTCCCCCCATCAGTGGAGGACCTCCCGCTCCCATTGAGGAAGAAGAGCCTCTTCCCGTCCGCCCTCGACCTGCCTATGATTCTGCAGGCGAGTCATCCGACTCTCCCGTAGAAGACTGGGAAGCCCTTTACAGTAGCGACGACATGGCCCGCAAGCCTCGCCTCACACAAGCCAATCAAGCGGCCGCCCAAGACGACTACGACTCCGAGGAGGAAAAGATGCCCGAGCCCTGGAACGCCATCTGCATCGTCGGCGTGCGCGTGTACTCCAAGGATGAGAATCTCGAACTTCGCACCGTGATGGAAGGCGGTGAGCTCCTAGAGGGCGGCATGGGCTCCAAGGGCGCCGCAGATCTCGACAACGCTCAGTCCAACGCGGGCGGTGGACGAGCCGACGACAAGGATGCTTCCAAGACGAAGCAAGATGACGACAGGTCATATCCCCCCGTCATCCGCAAAGACGGTAAATACGTGGAAGATGAGAATACATCTGGGGAGAAGTATTCTTCTATCCAGAGCTATTTCCACATTGACTCTGCTTTTACAACGAGGGTTAATTCTCCAGCGCCGACGCCTTATGAGCACGATCGGAGGCTGGAGTTCCCTGCTGCTAGCCGATAAGGCTTGAATTTATGTTTGAGAGCGTATTAGAGATTCTAGAATGATCATGACTCGAGGGTATACGGTATCGAGATGATATAGCGTTAGATTATAGGTTAATATTTGATGTTTTGGGAATGGGATGGAGGATAGGCGCAGGTGTTAGGATTCTTTCAGGAATGATGACATGAACTTGTTTAGTAGAGATATCAAGAATGTTTTGAACAATAAATCACAATCACAAACAACTTCACAATCTTTAATGATACCATTTTGAGTAAATTGATGCGAGACTTGCGACAAAGTAACACAAATGGCGGCATCAGCCTTTCCACGTGCGAACAAAAGACAAACAGGAATGTAAATTCCACGTTCCAGGTCGCAAACAGACACTGTCAAACTGCAGGTCCTGAGACAGCCTATGGCCATGCGCTAAACGTGCCTAGACGGGCCAGGTTAGTCCCTGGAAATCACGAGTCAGCCTCTGTAACCGAGCTCTTTTGGAGGCGTCAGCTGCCTAGACTGTGTGGGGCCTAGGCACCTTCATGGAAAGTGGGTGCGATAACGGAAGCTTAGACTAGCTTATCGCACCCCAAGTTCCGTCATCGTTCAAGCTCTCCATCCCCCGTCCGGTCCGTCTCGTATCTCTATCTCAACTTTCTTCTTCCCTTTCATCTCGTGTAATTATTACTTTTTTATCTTTCTTGTACCATCTTATTATCATCACTCCCATCATGTAGTCATGGGTGATTACTAGTATCTAAACGTTACCTACCTACATCACACATTCAACATGGCTTCCTCTTCTTCCAAAAGCTCTTTGCGCCGTAGTCATGGCGACTCATCCGGAGCCTCGTCTGGCCATTCGCATCCACGATCAGCGACACAATCTCGCCTTTCCGCCGCGCCCTCTATCGATATCGACACTCTCGTTAACCACCTCCTCGTCGCGAAACGATCGCTTTCTTCCATGACTCTCGTTCTCCGTGCGAACGAGATCGCGAATGATGCTAGGCTGTCACATGATGATGTATCCATCCTAGCTGCGCAGGCGGGCTTCTTACGAACTTCTATACTGGACCAGACGGCGATTCTTGTAAGGACTAGGAGGAGCTTGCAGAGCACGTATGAGTGGGGAAAAAAGGACTTTCGAAAGCTGGTCAAGTCGATGGACTTGGTTGATGGGCAGCTTGATCATACTATGGAGATGCTGCGCGAGACTGGGGTTGAGGGTGTTTTTAGACCGAAGGGGGAAGAGAGACGAAGTCTTCTTGATTTTATCGATGAAGGAGGCGTGGATGGTGTGCGCGAGGCGATGAAGCAAAGCATCCAGGAGCTACAGGTAAGCTGCTACCCGGCGTAGGCATCGCCAATCATGCGCTGACACCGCCCAGGCTATTCAACAATCTTTTGACGGGGATCTACTCCGTTTCGACAACGACATCCGGAATCTGAAGAAAGTAGTCGCCGATACGCCCAGCATACAGGATATACCACAGGGCAATAATCCATCAGCCGGCGAGATCCTCGAGAGTCTAGTCGACCATTCAGCCAACATGGCCCAGCTCCTCGCATCGCTGACCCATCACTTCGACATGTGCGTCACCGCGATCCGAACGACCGAAGGCGGCGTAGCTCTCGCTCGCCGTAGAGCTGCCGAGGCTACACAGTCCCAAGGAAACGACGGGGTCTCCATTTCAGGCGTCATCGCCGAGCAAGAGTCTAATGTGTCCGACCTCGAACCGAAAACAGCCAAAGACCGAGCTGAGATGTTAAAAGTCGTCGTGCAGGACGCACGCGAGGTCGACGACGTGGTGCAGGAAATACAAGAGCGCCTCACGGCAATGGAACAGGATTACACAGTGCTGCAGGAACAGCACGACATATCAAAACAGGCCTACACGGGCATGCTGCAGGCATACGCTATTCTGGGCGATATCGGCGATCGACTCGCTGACTACCTCGCGGCCGAGGGAGACTTTAAAACACGATGGGATATGGAGAAGGAGAGCGTCTTTGCCAAGTTGCAGGAGATGCAGCAACTCAAGGACTTTTACGAGCGCTACGCAAGTGCGTATGACAGTCTAATTCTCGAAGTCGAGCGCCGTCGCGCAGTGGACGATCGCGTGCGCAGCCTCTGGCGCAAAGCGCAAGAGAACGTGGACAAGCTCCTCGAGACAGACCGCGTGTCGCGCGAGGCGTTCCGGCAGGATGTCGGGGAGTTTCTGCCGACGGATCTATGGGCGGGTATGCAGGGTTCTGCGAAGAAGTGGACTGTTGTGAAGGAGGGTGAGGATGAGGATGAGGATGAGGGAGATGGAGAGGTGCAGCCGTTGAGGAAGAGTGTTGTTGAGGCGGCGAAGGAGAGACTTGCGAGGGCGGGGGAGAGACGAGTGAGATAGGTGGTAGTTAGATTGTATTGATAGTTGGGATGGCGTTTTGGATAGGGTGGTTATCTGGGATTGGGAATAATACTCTACATATTGCTTGCTACGAGTTTGTGTTGTCTGATGGTGGTCGTGGTATGTTGATGAGATGTAACAAGACAACGGACTCGCAGCATTTCTTACTCATCCTTGGGCAAAAGGTAGCGTGTTTTGATCATTAATCATTTCCGTTTTCTGACGATCGACACTTGTGACGGCTCAACGGCAGCTACTCTTAGTTCTAGCTACTCATAAGACGTTGTCTTGAGGCGTCTTCCTTTGATGCTAATATATTCATGATGCCCGTGTTATATCCAACGAGCTATACACGGGCCGTAGTTACGGCCAACGATCTTTATCACGTCTGTGCAGATCCCGTAGACGACGGACATCAATCTATGGGTGGGTGTCTATCACGGATGGGAACAGGTCACCAACTGCAGTTTGTTTACTTCAATGTAGATTGTTGTGACAAAGTAAATTAAGTGAGGGTTATGCTAAGATCTTAAAATGCTAAGCGGTTAATGTTTCGTAAAGATCGTGATGGTTTAAGATTCCAATACTCCATTCCATGTTGCTGTCATTATTTCCGGCCGTTTCTCGTTACACACACAAAAACCTAAGTAAACAATTTACCCCTTTCATTTCAATTCTTCCTTTGGACTGTCGGAACAATCTCCAGAGCTGCATGGGTCAAGATCATCAGGCTTGATGGATGACAAGAACTCTGTCACTGAGCCCATGATAAAGACATGCAAGTCCTTCTCGTCAGTGGAAACCATATTGGAGAAGATAGGATTCAGCTTGCGATACATGTCTGAGGCAGTGTCTGGGTTGAGGGTGACGATGTTGCTGAGGACATCGGCGAGCATGTGAGTTGCTCGAGACATGGAGCGAGCTCCTGTTCCTCCTAGTGTGGTGACGGAGTCTTTGACGGTGTTTTGCAACTCCTCGGTTATGTTGTAGACATTATTGAGAAGAGCTTGGCCATCGTCTTGAGTGAGGTCAAGAGTTGGATTCCTGTCCATGATAGAGACTGTTCGGGAGAGCGTCGCTCTGATACTGTTCATCTTGCGAAGGACTTTATGCACAGCCTTGTGTTTCGACAGTCTCTTAACCTTGGTTTCCTCCAAAACAGATTCTTTGTCATTTGTTAGTAATCGGAGTGAAATTAGTTATACTCGACGTACCGATGTCATCACATCTCTCCTTGATCTTCTCAGCAACACGATCTAGTAAGCTGACCACGCTCACATCCTTGCGGCTAATTGAGCGCCTATCGCGAGATGCAGACTTCTTCTTTTTTGAGGCTACAGTGACGCCAATGCGGGGTGTAGCAAAGGCTGGCAGACGGCGAGCTGCAAGTGTCTCATCTCGAACGATGACTGTCTTGGATAGGGGAGCGGCCAAGACACCAGTGAAGAGTGTGGCTGCGAGGAAGAGTGTGAACTTCATGATGAAAAGACTGATTGAATCACCCCGGAGAAGAAGAATATCAGAACGAAAGATAGGAGAGTCAGGAGCAGGGCTGCCAGAGCTGAAGAACCTTGGCAAGGAGAGGACATCACAGCCTTATACTCCTGGAGCACAATGTTGGCTTGACTTGCACCTCATCATCGACTGCCGATCTTATCCGCTTTCTATAGGGAATATAAAAGCTTAAAGCGGGAGGATCTGCAAGTTCCTGAGGTAAAACCTTAGATTGGGCTGTAGCATTCCCCCCTGCATTGGGGAGGACAGAAAACACTGGGTGCTGCTGACAGCAAGAACTGCAGATCCTGAGTTTAGTGCTTTCCTTTCCGGCCAAGCCTACTTCTCGTACGAAAAATCTTGGTGTGTCAATTAGAGAGTTTGGTGTAACATGATCTTGAGCATATTGGTGTTAGGTGGGAAGATGGCGATCGCTGCGGGTGATCAACATGGCTAGAGATCTTGTTTCTGCTGGGCATGGGATGAGTGACAGAAGATCATGGCCACAACATTCAGTATCCATAAGTAATTATTCTGTGCATATCTACTGTATCGTAAAATCTTCGTGTTTTTGAGATCTCTGCTGAAGAACCTAATCGCAGCGTCACCAAGTCCATCCCCGACACTCCGAAAGCATCTCTCTTCCTCTCCATCATCCGCCAAGTCCTTTAATCCCCCACTACCAGTGACGGATAACCGTCTTTGCACATTCCAATCCCCATCCCAGATCGCAGATCCTTAGACCCTCACTACCGGATTAGTTCCCACCCAACCTCGATAAGCTTCTCCCTGAGACAGCCAACATTCCTCTCCCCTTAGCCCCCGCTGTTTGTCCTCACTTATGATCGTTTCAGGCATTCTGTGTTCGGCCGCCATGGTCTAGAACTGAATCATAGATCTCGGTTGTCTCCGCAGGAGGTGACCTGTCAATCAGTTGATCTAGATGAGGCTTGATATCAAGGGCTGCTTTTGGTATGGTGGAACGGATGGTCGACGGGAAGTGAGGAGCCACCCATCTGTCGGTTACAAAAGAGGTTTAGATTTCTTTATTGACGGGAATTGGGTAGAGCTTAACTTTGACGGGAATATGGACGCGGGGTTTTGTGGTGGTTTGTGTCTTTGCGAGGCGTGGATGAGGCTGAAGATGGGCGTTGGACTGATATCCAGTATCACTCCAAGCAGCCTCAGATCGGACTACGGAGCGTAGCCACCGGTTGTCCTCTTTCAATGGACCTTAGGAGAGGCTTGTCTTTCTGGTGCTGGCAAGTCTTCTCCACGGATCGTGTGCCAGGGAAGATCTCTTCAATCCTACCCCAGCGTCGTCTAATTCGTCGTCGTCTTGTTACCAAAAGGTTTCCGTCCATACACAACAGTCCTATAGATCGTCAGCAAACCCACATCCGCTCCTCTAATAAGGACCCAACTCACGTCTCAACCCAAGCACAGTTACTCTTATCCTTCATCTCCCTCCGAAACAGCCCCAGCAACACTTGAACCTCCTCTCTATACCACCCCAGCAGATCCATGAGCAGCAAATTTGCATACCCCTCAATACTCTGCTCCAAAGCCTCAAGAAACAATTCTCCTGCTCGTTTTAGCCTCTGAACGCTGGGCCACAAGTGCATGGGCGCTTTTATTCTCTTTTCCACAACGTCGACGAAGCCTGCTGCTTTGAGATTATCACGCATCGTGTGGTTCTTGCAGACGTCGAATGGACGGCCCATTTTCTCACCGGCGGTGTAGAATGCGTCGGCCCAGACGTTGAAGACGTGGTCGGGGGGTAACTTGACGTGATCTGACTGGAGCTTGACGTCCATTTCTAGATCCTGGATCCATCCTCCAGGTGCGAGATGTGTATATGCCTTGCTGTACAGATCAACCCAGTCGGGAACACTGCCGTACATGGCGCGGAGGTGGATAAAGTCAAAGTGATCTTCAGGCCACGTCCAGTCGAGCAGACAATCTTCAATGACGAACTTGACGTTTGGAGGCACCACGACTGGTTGGATGGGACTTAGATCTGTGCCTGTGACTTCAGCGTCTGGGTACTCATCTCCAAAGTCAATCGCCCAAATCCCCGTCCCCGTGCCGATATCCAACACACGTTTCGGTTCTTCTATAGGCGCGAGAAACAACTTCTCATCGAGGGTGAAGAACAATCCAACATGCGTAAGGTCTAGGCCGTGGTTCTGCTGTGCATCATTAGGCGCCCAATACTCCGTCGACTGAATATTCTCATACGTCCGCCCATAGTGCTTTCGGTACTCAAGAATACTGCTCGTTATGGACACCGTCGACAAATCACCAGAAATCGACTCGCCATCATCATCATCATCAGCCAGATCAGCGAGAATCTGCTCGTTTGGCTCAATTTCCGGCGACGCGGACTCGGAATACACGACAGGTGGTCCCATTTTGTGTTGGTGGCTTGCTCAATGCACGTTTTCTCCCCTGCGGATAGATTGACTTGGAGTTAGTTTGGAGGAAAGAGAAGAGAAAAAATGACTCAATCTTGAGCAGGGGCGCTGTTTGGTCTTTTACGTATTGGTACATCATGCAGCGAGTGCCGAACTATGCAGTAATGATCTTCTATGCCCCGCAGGGATCTAAGCCTGAGTCAAAGATGATGTGTCTCATTTTCGGAAGCACGATGAAGTGTTCGTCGCAGGGATCCATCAACACAAACATACATATAGCTGACATGGGTAATTACTATCTGTAAGGTACAGTACAGAATTGATGTCACGGGATCCCAAGTAGAGTTAAACGGTATTTGCATCACGGATCGAGGACTGCTTCTTCTTAACTACTTCTACTACCGATCATTTTGCCAGCGATCAACGAGGACCAAAAACCGGGAACCGGGACAATGGCTTAGCTGAAAACCCTCAAAAGCAATGTTATCAGGCAGCTGTCTCAGGTTTCTTCCAATCTTTGTTAATTGCTTGAGCCACTCCAATCAGATGGAGGGGATACCTAAGCGGTGCATAAGCCACACAACACCAGGAAAGCTCACGATGTACGGCAGCAATGTGCAGAGCTAGAGTCAAGCTCCGATATCCACAGGAAAAGTGACCAATTGTCTAGAAGGAGAAGAGTGGCTGGCAGCTGTGAGCAAGCTATTGAGACAGAAATTCATCCTCGACACAAGCATTCCTTTGATCTTGGAGGGATTGCGTGTGAAAAGTAAATATCTCGTGCATCAATAGCCTCGACTAGTGAGTTTAGTTCAAAGTAATTGGTGTTATAACAATTGCACAAAAGACCGCGGGTTTATATCTAACCTCTAGCCAAAATCACGACAGCTACGAGGTATATCAGCTAAAGAGCTTGGCTGCACTAAGCCAAGACATTCGGAGCTCAGCTCCGGTGTCTCACCCTGTACCGGGCCCGTGTTAATTTCCTATTCAGGCAATGCACTCAATCCCTCCACTGCATCATCACCAACTTAAGTCTTAAACATAACTTCACAGAAAAGGACGACATAGTTCCTCAAATATCTCACATTGAATACCCCCACAGGAGGCTACCCATAAGTAAATATCTACATCAAATGAATAATATATACCCCCTCCAAGAACCACAAACAACATCCCCAAGAAGCTTATACACACTCGCATCACCACTTACACTCAAGCAGTGCAAGCAGGAGCGTCAGCAGTGACGGTGACGTAGTGGGTCTCAGCAGCAGAAACAGTAACATATGAAGTCACGATAGTGTTGCTAACAGCGTTGTTGTTGCTGCCAGCATTGCCATAGTTGCTGCCGTTGCCAGCGTTGTTGTTGTTGTTGGAACCCTTGGAGCCGGAACCAGTCTTGTCAGATGAGCTCTGTCCAGTGGGCTTGGGCACGGGGTAAGCGTTGTGCTGAGTCTTAGTAACTGCGGCGGTGTTAGCGGCTGCGGAGATTCCTTGGGCCGTGTTGCTGGGTGTCGCGGGTTGGGTGTCGTACTCATCACCATCGTCGGCAGGGCACTCCTCATCATCATCACCGGTCTCAGGCTCCTCATCCTCGTCGCAGTCCTCGTCATCACCAGTCTCAGCGGCAGCAGAGGGGGTGGGCTCCTCCTCATCATCACAGTCCTCATCATCACCCTCGTCAACGGGCTCCTCATCGCAGTCTTCATCGCCGGCATCGGGGGTGGTGGCAGTGGGCTCGGGAACGGCGGTGGTCACGCTCTCAAAGACGGGGCCGAGGGCGGAGGAAGAAGTAACAGCGACGGCCTGGAGGGTGGTAGCGGTGGGCTTCTCAGCGGCAGGGGCGGAGGTAGCGACGGGGGCAGCAGAGGCAGCGGAAGAAGGCTTGGTAGAACCAGAGCCGGAACCGGATCCAGATCCAGCGCCGACGACAAAGTCAACGCAAGACTCGTAGGTCTGGTCGATATCAGGAGCATTCCAGAACCACTGGAGAACACAGTCACCAGCCTTGGTGCACTCACCACCCAAGCTCTCGGGAAGAGTGACGCTGAAGGCAGTGTTGTTGGGGTTGAGACCAGAGTTGGCAGCATAGTTCTCAAACTCGATAAGAGGCTCTCCGATCATCTTATCAGTGGATGTCTTGACAACGGAAACGTTGGCGTAGCCGGTGTGGGGAGCAGCGATGTTGACGTCAAAGTCAATCTTCTCGCCGAGCTTGTAGCTCTGGACATTGTCCTTGTTGTCGTCGAACTGGAAGCCCTTGCACAGCCAGAGGTTGCACTCCTTGGCGTCGAAGTTGGAGCCGACGACCTGCTTGATGCCCTGGACGTTGCCGTTGATGTCGGCCGACTGCTGGTAGAAGGGCTGCTCGCCGCAGGCAGCCTTGAAGGCGTTGCCGGGCTTGCGGGGAGTGGGAGACTTGACGAAGCCGTGGGCGGCGACGAGGGGAAGAAGAGTAAGAAGGGCGGCGGCGTTCTTCATTTTGGCGGTAGATATAAAAGTCTTAAGATACGGATAGAAATTGGCTTCGTGAGAGTCTCTAGGACCAGATGTAATTGTTAAAGAGTG